TTTCCTGAAAAGAAATCAGTCCGGCAAACGTGCGCTTCCAGCGCCAACTCTTCCGTTCCTTGCAGGGAGACCGAGGTGCAGTGGTCTCCAGGATGGGCCTGGCCTGGGAAACAGACCAGTGGGACGAGAATAGTCACGGTCCAGGTTGATCCAGTGGTGGCTAATCTGTGGAACAGCTGTGTCCACGTGACTCAGGGAGAGGAATTTTAGAGTAGCCTGCCATCTGGACTTATTCATCCTCTGAGGAGGCGGGGAGGCCGGAGGGATACAAGGAAACAAGCACCTTTCTATGTCCGGGAGATGGCTCATGTAGACACACACACACACACGCACGCACACACACACACACACACACACACTCTGATTGGCAGAGTCCTTGGGCCCCACGAGTCAGTTCTGGCAGAGAAGTTTGACGTAATTCTCTGTCTTACTTAAAACCAGACCGATCTTTTAAGTCAGTGGGCATAGATGTAGTAGCTCAATTTAAGTTTTCCTTTCCAAATAGAGAGGCCTGTGTCCTATGTGATGCTGGTCACGGGAGAAATTCTGTAGGAGGAAGAGGCTGGAACTCTGGCCTCGGGTTATTAAGCAGAGCATTCATTATAAGTGTGTCAATACCGTTCCTGAAAGATTTGCATGTTTCTCTGTCATAGGCATATTCTTCAAATTTTATTAGAGAAAAATATTCTGGTATCCTATTAAAATTATTATTATTATTATTTAAGAAAAAGATCTCAAGCCCCTTGATTTTATTGCTGAGGGAACTTAGGCCCCAAAAGATTGAATAACTTGCCTTCCTTGACATTAACAGAGATAGGCCCCTGTTTTTAGAAGTTAGATCCTCCTAATATTTGGCTTTACGTGTGTGTTTTAAAAATGACAGTTGGATAAGTTGAGAGCTTAGTAGTTTAAGCTATGAAGAAACTTATGACACACGTTTAACCAAATAAAATTATTTTCCCTCACTCATGCCATGAGGACAGCTTGCAAAGACTGTGTTCACTTTTCTCCTTTCCTCTTAAGAAGGGGTTGGTTATTTTTAAAGCTCAAGTTGAAGGAGTGAATATAGATTATAAATCTTGGTTGGCTGAATTTATTCAGGAATTTGTCAGACTGAATATGAACTTTCTGGGGTGTAAATAAATGAAAAATGAGGTCTTTAAGTGATCTTTCTCTTTCTCTCTGTCTATACCTATATCTGTCTTCGGTTTCATCCCAGACTGGTTCCAGGGCAAAAAAGAAAAAGTGATTTTCTCTTTCCTTAGATTCACATCATCAAGTGATTGACTAAATTTATGATGGAATGGCAAATTTAGTGATCGTTCGATTGCTATACTGTCGAATAACAAAACAACTGCAACTCAAAACAAACGTAAGCACAAAGAAAATGATTGTGTATAGCAAAATGTTTGTCAAACTTCTACCAACGAGCCCCATACTTAGTAAGAACCTGATACTGAGTAATAGTTCTGATTATTCTTTGAAGTCTATAGTAACGGGATATAACGTATCTGCTACCGCCTTTTTGTGTAGGCCCCCAAATGAAGTGTGTATAATTGTTATAATTTTGAATAACTCCAGGATCAACATTCAGTGATATCTTTCACCTTCTTTTTCTTTTCTAATAAAACAGAATAATGAAGAGACCCCCAAGTATAACAGTTGCATTTGTGGGTTCTGCTATTATTGAACAAAATGCTTTATAGATAATACTGGTGATAAGCCATCAATCTCCTTATTTTATATGAGGAAACTTAAACACAGAAGTTTTTCAGGACAAAAGGACAGAGGTGTGACTTGAGAAATGGCTTTACGGCAGTAATCCTGTCGGCACATCACATCTGCACCCTACTTAGAATAATTAGCAAAGGGCCTATTGGTTGTACTATTTTACTACAGACAGCTTTCTTGTTTTAGAAGCAAAGAGTGCCATGCTTATACATGACCAGGATTGCTTGGACTGTCTGTTCACAAACTTTGTCTTCCTTCTTGTTGGACCTTACGGGGTCCGGAGGTTTCATCACCGGCTGCCACTAGATGGTGCTTGTCATTGAAACAAAGGTTCCTCCTCCCATTTTCCTGTTTTCTTTAGGTGTCTGTTAGGACCTTGGCTGATAGGACAGAAACTTGACTGATAAGCTAAGTCGTGCGTGGGTATTCTAGAAGGTCATTTAGTACAAAGAGTTATTGATCAAAAAAGCAAATCATTATCAGTAAAGAGTACTTATGCTGTTTTTTAAAATTCCATTAATTTTTCTGTTCATTTTCTTTGTCATCAACCTGTGTGAACCCCAAGACAAGAAGAACAAATAAATCTTTCTCTGGGTTCATGGGAATCAAGGGACACAACTCAAGTTTTAGAACAGGTGATAAAAAAAGATCTCAGGATTCATTGTCCTCACCCGGGTAGCAGTAGCAAAGGTGACCACATGCAGAGTTGACAAGGAAAGTTAATCAATGACCTTTTAAAGGAAAAACACATATATCTCAATTACTGGACAATAATCAATAGGAAAGGAAATGGAACATGCTCTTTTAATTGTGGGATAGCAAACAGCAAGTAATGAGAATGATAACAGAGGTTGTGGGCTCTTTGCCAAAGACAACTCTTTTTCTCATTAATTTAAGACACACACGAAACCTTACCTCATAGTGCTCTAATTCCCTCCCTGCCTCCCACCCCTCACACACCGATTTTATACCCCTTTCAGGGTGAAGTTGTGCCAATCTCAATAGCGAAATGCTTCCAGGGCTTACCTATTTGGTTTTTGTGAAGGATAGTTTGATATATTTTGCAGCAGAATATTAGAAAACATAAATTTCTTGCACTATTCCTTTCCCAAACATTCACCAACGCTGACCATTCATGGCTGGTTCACGATTATAATGAGAAATTGCCAGCTATGTTGAAATACATAATCCACAGTGTGAAAAACTGCTGAATAGCAGTGTCAAATTCTTAATACAAAAGTGGCTTCCCTTTGCCTGTGAGCTTACTTTGGGGTTGCTGAGTCTTGCTAACTGTGTTTTCAGGCACTGAAAGTTAATTTTAACGTTAATCTAAAAACAAAATATAAATATGTAGGCACAAGTTTTAAAGTTAATTTTTTTCAGTCTTCTGTTTCGAATTCCCCGTGTCACTGCAGTACATTATGTAGAATGCGTGAACATATACGTGAGCCAGATGTGACAACAGCTGGACACATGACATTAGTGCATTTTAATTTCAGACAGCTTTGGGTGGTTCCTAGTGCCTTGTGAGCATTGACTGAGGATTTTAAATATACCCATTCCCCCCCCCCCCCTTAAATGCCTGCCTCCTAAGCACTGGTGAGGTACAATGGATCTCTTCCAGTTTTAAATACTAGAAAGAGAAGCTTCTGTCCCTAAGTTATTTTCCTCCAGAATATCCCCCCTCCCCGCAGGGGTCTTATTAGTTATTGCTTAGTACTGAAGAAGGGTTTGGAACCAGGAGCAGATAGTCTGTGTGTTGAAATTATTTTTCTTGGGTTTTATGTGTTTTGATGGTTACTGTTGAAAATGCAGTTTGGTCAGTGACTTCCACACACACACACGCACACACACACACACACGCACACACACACACACACACACACACATGATATGTATTAATAGGAAACTCTCATACGCTTGCATCATATACTGTGCGGCTCACATCCCTGCTCTCTCGCAGGACCCAGAACGTTAGATGGTGTCTGTGCTGACAGTCTGTTGATATCTCAATGGTTTACTTAACTGATCATGATGGGGCTGGGCCACTGATACATTATTAGTATTATTTGCTTAGCAAAGGGTACTTGAACCTCAATACTTAGCCTTAGGACCAGAGTCAATACAAATAATAACTTTGTACGCTCAAGAAGACTCCCTCGGAGGGCCAGTGGTGTTTCTCAGACTGTCTGAGGAAGACAACACCCGTGACAAAAGCACAAGGCTGAGGACGGTGCTGTCCCCAGACATCCCCCGCTGAAGGTGAACGAGGACCGAGTGCCCGTAGCGCTCCACCCGGACGCCCCAAGTTGAACGAAGTAGCCTCCAGAGTGATCTGGGGCCGGGAAACGAAAGCAACTTCAGTTCTGCCCGGGAGAACAGGCTGTCCCCACTGGGGATCTGCTGTGACTAGGACAAAAAACTGGACCTAGCAGCTCGCTCAGGGCGTGAGAGAAGGAACCCAGGCCGGCGAAGGCAGCCGGTCGGGACCCGGGTCTCCCGCCGGGTCCGGGCGGGCGCGGCGCGCGGAGCACGAGCCCCCGGCGGAGGCGGCGCGGCCCCAGGCCCCTCCCCGCCGCCGCGGATGCCCGGGCGCCTGACGCCGAGCCGCGGCCCCGAGCGGTGGGGGCCGGGCGGCGCGAGCGAGGGCAGGGCAGGGGGCCGGCCGAGGCCACTCGCGGCTTTAAAAATGGATCGCGGGCTCGCGCTCGTGGCACAGCCTCCGCCACGGCCGCCTTTCCCGCTTCCCCGTCCCGCAGCTCGCTCCCGAGGGGCGCCCTCGCCGGGCACCGCCGCTGCAGTGTTAGTTACTGGCAAAAACCTCGGAGATCCCCATAAATATGCAGAAGCTGCAGAAGGCAAAGTAGAGTAGACGCCCGCGCTCTCACACACTCGCTCGCCCCGCACCACGCGGGCCGTGTAGACATCTCCCCCTCCCCGCGCCGCCACCGCCTCCCCCCGGCTCGTGGGCCGTGCGGGCTCCAGCCCTGCTTGCTCCGAAGACCCTCCCGCCCCGGCGCCCTCGCCCCGTCCTCGCCTCCCTCCGCCCCGGAGCGCGCACCCACCCAGGCGGCAAAGTTGTGACTACTTGGGCGCGGGTGGCTTGCGCCCCGCTCGACCCGCGCGTCGTGCCGGCAACTTCCCGCGGCCCGGCCCCGCCGCGCCCCGGGCCCGCGCCTGCGGGGATCCCGCGGGCCCCCAGGCCTCCGGCCCCGGCGGCGCGCCGGGCAGCGCTTCTGTGGCCGCGGCGGCCGTGGCGGCAGCGAAGGCGGCGGCGGCGGCGGCAGCGGCCGCTGCAGCCCCACACTCCGCCGCCAAACTGGAGGAGCGACGGAAGGCGGACCCCAGGAGGTGAGCGCGCGGCCCGGGCCGCGGAGGGGAGGGTCGGCCGGGACCCCGCGTCGCGGCGGCGGCGCAGGGGCGGAGGGCCCGGGGGCCGGTCCCGGAGCGCGCGCGGGCGGCCTCGGCGCCCTCGGGGGAGGGAGAAGGAGGTCTGCTGCGGCCGGGCATCCCCTGGGCTGGGCGCCGGCCGAGTGTGGACGCGGCTTCCGCGGAAGAGTACTCCCCCCCCCACCCTTCTTAGCGTGTAGAGGGGCAGTTTGAGCAGCCCTGTCTCCCCCCCAGTGTAGAGCCCCCTGCGCGGAACCAGGCGTTGCTGCCCGGGCTGTGGGGCCAGTGTACGCGGCGGGCTGGGCTCCCGCGCAGTGACACGTGTGTTCCTGTGAGCCTGGGTGGTCCCGGTGGAGCTCGGGCACCTGCCACACAAACATCCCCAAACCCGCGAATGGTGGAGGCTTGGGGGACTCTCGGTGCCCCCGCTTCGCTGCCCGCTCCGGGACGGAGCATTCACGTCTCCCCCTGGCACACCGAACGCGGGGGGTGAGTCAGGCAGATTCTCTGCAAGTGGCACACACACAGTCACTTGCAGTGGCTTTGGAAGAGTGAGGCCGAGGTTAAACTGGGATTTCTCTTGGCCAGCGACAGCGGAGCTCTTCCTCAGGTACTGGGCAGCATGTGCGGCTTGGCAAGGAGAGGTGATTTCTTTTTTCTTAAGTGCATTTCACCCAGCCCTTGCCAGTCCGTTAATAACAGTCAACAAAGAAAGGCAGGAGCTGGGAACCACATCAGCAAACTGCCGCAAGCACCGCAAAGGGAAAAAGTTCTTTAAGAACAAAAGAACAACAAGGACGACAACAAAAAACAAACAAAACCCACAGCAAACCCTGAACTTGACTCGAAAGATGGAGAAGAAAGCCGTTTGACCTCTGTTCTCCCACCGGAAAGCATTTTCCCCCCTTTTTCCAGTTCCTTGCGAAACTTTTGTTTTTCCATCCCTCATTCCTTCTCAGGGCCTCACCTTTCTCAGACCAATTCCCTGCAGCAAGCTCTTTTCAGTCTTGACAATGAAGAGCAGTTAACCACTTTGGAGTACCGTCTTTATTTCCTTTCTCATTTCACTTCAGTGTTGGAGAAAGTTGCTCCTCATGGGGAATCATGAACCCTGAGCTGTACTAAACACACACTATCTTAAGTCCTGGAACAGTTCCTTTCCGGAGAGACACTGCATTGTACAGTATTCCCCCCCCCTTTTTTTCCCTTGTATTTGGGACCTGGACTTAGACTATTACCTGAATTAAAGTGTCCATTGCCCATTAGGGCTTATTTTTATTTTTTCATTTTGATTTGAATAGCTTTTTCAGTGCAGTTAAAACAGTATTCAGTAGCGTCTTATAACCAATGTAATGTCTTCCCAAAAGGTCTCTAAGAACTCTCCTTGTATTTATCACATTGGCATTTAAATAATTTTCATGATCATTATAGCACTTAGATTGAGGTTGTTAGCATAACTTCAAAGGAAGCATGTCTGCTTATTTTTCTATAATTTTAATAACAAAAAAACTTTTACTTTCATTTTAAAGTTAAATATAGTGATAGGCTTCTGTTCTCTTTCTATGAAATCTGGAAATTGAATCTCTTTAACTTTATCTCAGTCTCTGGTAAGATGACATAAAAACTCTCACATATGTGGACAGAACGGAAAGTAGTACTCTTTGGAACTGTTGAGACATAGGACATTTATAAGAATGGGAGTGGGAGGTGTAAGATTGGATGTTTGGATAGTTCCAGGCATGTCTACCTTTGAGAAAAAAGAAAACTAAGGAACCCCTCCCCCAACATTGTGTATGAGTGTTGTCAAAATTAGGTTTTAAGTATCATTTAATGTGTTGAGGTCATTCTAGAGTTTTACTAATTAACATGTATAAGGCACCTTAGCCAAAGAAATTGACAGGATGTACTCTGAGTTTATAATGATGTATCCCTTTTAGTTTATTTTCTCAACAGAAAAGAAATTTAAATGTTTGTTGATGTTACTATTTTAGTCTTTGAAATGATTAGCATAAATTTGGAGTTTGTAATAATGTGTGAAAAGAATACAGGGAATCATTTAGAGAAAAAAATGTGATAGAAGTCGGGTAAACTTGGGGACAACTGCCAGCATGATCTGGTGGTAATTTCATTTTTCACTGAGCCCTGGCAAGTACAATTTTGAGGTTCTGATCCTTTGTTCTGATAACAAGAGAGATAGCCTGGCCATAGCTTGCACTGTAAAGAAAAACACAACACTTAAGGGAAAAAAAGTACACATTAGCTGGTGAATCATGTAGATAATCAGGTTTCTTTGCTTGCCTCTGAGGACACTGCAGTCCACAAGGACTGCTACTGTTAGGGGAGAGCGTCCAGAGGGAACACTGCTCCCTAAGTCAGTGCTTCTGTAGACTTCATCTGCTCCTTTCTTGGAGGCACTCTGCGTTCAATTTTAATAACATGCATACAGTTTAAGACCGGGGTTGATAACAACATTGGGAGTGGGAAGAAAGACCCGAGAAGAGAATACTCTAACAACGCTGGAAGTTTCTAAGTGTTTTTTCCTTGATTGCTAAGTGGAGCGAATCAGGGTGCATGATTTGATGGGGCCAAGGGAGCTCTCAGCAGAACACATAGCTCCGTTCTCCCTGTTGACGCAGTTTCTGAGGCCAACCTATGATTTATGACATTTATGTCTTTTGGGGGAGTCATTTAGCAAAATGGATGGTTAGTAAGTAAAGTTAGTAAGTAAAGTTAGTAAGACTTTATGAAACTAGGTCTTGCTACTTTCAGGATTTTTTTTTTTTTCATAATGCAGAAATTTTAAGGGAGGGGAAAAAATGTTTCTTTCATATGACGTCAGGGGTAAGTTGTATTCCAAATATGTTTGCCTTTCTCCATTTGACATGTTTGAGTCACAGAATAGAAAGTATGTTATTGTCCTTCTAACATAAAGGTGATATTTTATATCCCTGTGGTGCATGCCTTAGTTATTTTTTCAGTAGTAGAGATGGATTTTCCCACCTACCCTTTTACTCATTTCTTTTGGATGATGTACACACATACACATGCACACACACACACGACGTGTTTGTAGAGATGACTGATTTTATTTTACCTAAAGCCATATTTATGACTGTCATAATGATTTGGTGGCAATTACTTTGTTACATTTCTCTAGTCTCAGGAGTATGATGGCATTTCAAACAAGACATCAAAAGCTATGAGTGATGATGGCTTTATTTACCTGCTGTGGCAAAGAAGAGATAAAAGTTTGTTTTCCCGTCTTTTTACGATGTTCATAATCCTATTCCTTATGGATCTTACTTGCCTTTGAATTAAGTTATATATTAAAAAAAGATCGTGGTAGGAATAGGCTTGGTGAAATCATATACATCTGCACTTGTTTTCATAAACCAAAACATCATCTTGTTATTCCTGCAAATTAAGGAGATGTAAGGGATTATTATGCTGGTTGAAAAAATGAGGAAACTAGGCACAGAGAACTTTGTATCCTTTCCGTTCCTTTCTCTTTCTTCCTTCCTTCCTTCCTTCCTTCCTTCCTTCCTCCTTCCTCCCTTCCTCCCTCCCTCCCTTCCTTCCTCCCTCCTGTCCTTCCTTCTTCAACTAAAGGGATTTTAGTTGAACTTTTCTTAAACTAAAGGGAAACTTATTGGTGGAGGTGGGACGAACCTTCTCTCTTTGAACTAGTGCTATCTATGTGTTGAATGACTGTGATCAAATGAATGATTGTTGTTTTAGTCACAGCTGAAGATACTAAAGCAGATACATGCTTATTCTGGTTTGAAGGGTTGGTTCTGGTCCCTCTTAGTGATTCTGCTCAGCAGCACTGCCCATTGACCTCGATTTTTTCTCCTGTCCGTTGGTGCCAGAGTGCCTTTCCCTAATGAAGAGTGTTCAGTTTGCGTGGAGCAATTTTATCTCCAGTTTTTAAGAGTTAACTTTTGTTTTTCATGGAGAGTGAATACAGAAGGAAGTTACATGAAATTAGGATGTTAAAGAAATAAATAACCACCAACAGATAGTTTGGGATTATTGTGTAGAAAAAGGCTATCCTCAGTTTAACTTAAGTTTTTATCTTAGAATCCTCAAAAAGGTTTTAAATAAAACTTGTAGTAGTATACTTTTGGGGGAGTTTAAACATCAAAATTAATAAAAATACAAAATGAGAAAGGAATATATTGTCTTTCAGACTGAGGTAATGTTCTGTGAGTGATACAACTAGAGAAAGTTCTTCATAATGTCTTGTATAAGAAGTCATTGGTTTCTTTCCTTTTTTTGGAAGTGTATTGATTGATTGATAATATCCTTTATATTATTTGCAAAAAAGTGAACTTGTGGGAACTGGACTTCTGTGTGAGTTAGTCGTAGGTTTGGCCTGGAGACTAGTAGTCACTGGTAGGGTCCAGTAACAACTTCGTCTATTTGGAAATCCTATATTTGGCATATTCTTCAGCAAAATAAATAAATAAATAAAATTATTTTTCCCGAGCAGGAAAAATAAAGGGTTACGAGAAGACATAGATTAAAGAGGATTCACTTTACTCACAGGAGATCCCTCCAAATCGGTTTACTCTTCATGCACCTACAGTTCTACTACGACTGATCATAGCATTTCTAATCCTGTAGCAACACTGAATTGCAAATTAGAAGACAGGAATGGGCTGATATTGGCAGCTACATGGATGACATTGCAAAGTGCCAGGGGACAGATTGGTAGTAAAGGGAGAGATGGATCAAGTACGAAAAGCAGTCGTAGGACTTACAGCGGACATGGTGGGAAGGACTTTGTGGGTGGACCCTGATAGGATCACTTTATTATATTCCCTTCTCCATCCCTCCCTGTCTTTCTTCCTTTCTTTTTTGCTCTCCTATCCCCGATCCTAACTTATCTTTATCTATCTGTCCGTCCATCCATCCATCCAAAGTTTTTATTGAAATATAAAATGTATAGAGAAAAGTAT